AGAGTGTGGAAGAACCAGTGGAGCCTTACCTGCAGTAACATGATGTCGTTTGCATATGGAGGATTATTATAGTTTGGGTGGCGTATAGCTCTTTTCATCCTAATTTCCTGCTGGGTCGTCTCCTTCTGTTTGATGTTGTGGGCTCCCAGGATGACAGTAATTGAGCTGCAGAGACCAGAGAAGGTGGTGTAGTAACAGAAGATATAGCCCAGGGGCTGTGAAAGAAAGAGGACAGGTGGGGACAGGGCAGGACTGCAGTGGAGAGGAATGTTAATGTCCCTGGGGCTGAGCATGTGTGTGCCCTCTGCTTCTTGGCAGCTCAGGCTCAGTGACAGTTCCTGGAGCAGATGTCACTGTGCTGAGCGTGCCTGTCTGTAAACTAAACCATTTGCCCGATGGGCTCCAGGGCACAACCTGAGGCTCCTTCCCGTGCCACCGCTGGTCACTCCCCTCTCTCTTCAACAGGCCACTTGCATTGACCTGACCCTCTCTCCTGAAAACTTACCTCTCTTTGGAAGAGCTGCTCTGTGTTACTCGGTAGCTGATGTCTACAGCCCCTGAGACGAGGGTTCCCTGCCAGGTGTCTACAAACAGGTGGGGGTTCAGGCGCTACTCCTCACCTTCCCCAGCACCGAGCTGCTGTCAGCAGAATGTCCTCACACAGAAGGAAGCCCCCACAGTATTCACTTTTTGAAGAGTTGATCCGAAGATACGCCATGTAGCCATGAAAGTGAGGCTTGGCCTCATGGCCCCCGATGATTTCCCCTGTAAGAAAAATTCTACTCTGCTTGCTGTGCTCATGGAGCCAAGGGCTGGAGCAAGGGGGACTGGGATAAACTGGAGCAGGGCAGGGAGGAGTTGGGTGGCAGATGGTGGGGTCTGTAGTAGTCAGCAGTGAGCAAGAAGTGGTCTTACAGGTCCCTGAGGCAACATTCCTGGCCTGCCAGGTGACCCCCAAGACTCAGTTTGTTCCTCTGACAAAGAAAAGAGCAGCCCTTATTCCTTAATTGCAGCTGCAGAGAAGTGTTTGGGAAGATAGGGTTTGTGTTGGGAATAAGCAGTAAACTCCCTGTACATCTTGGCAAATCCTTTCCCTGACGTTCCCTGGGTCCTCTCTCCATTCTTGTTTCCCAGACTCACTGAGCTGCTGCTGGTTTGTAATCCTCAGAACATTGTGACGGAGAAAATGANAGGGGGCAGTTTTCTAACGCTGTGCTTCTGTGTGGGCGAGAGTGTTGCAGGTTCATCCTTGTGGAGGAGGACCATGTCTAGATTGACCATGGGCCTCGGTAAGTTCTCAGAGGCCCTATTTCTCCCTAACTCTGGTTGCTGTCCATTGTTCTCCAGGGAGAAAGATCCCAGACTGGATAGAATGTGGAGCGGTTCCCCACTGCCTGGGTCTCCAGATCTCTGTCCTTCCCCAAAGACCACCCTCTCCAGAGCCAAGCCAGCTAAGCTCAGTCTCACGTGAAAGTAAGCCTTTTTTTGTCATGTTCCCCACGTAGATTTGAATGGCATGGTCACAACAATTTTGTAAGTAGTTTTCGTACTCCCAATCCTTTTGCACTGTCATCTCCATCTCCTACAGTTTGTCTGGATATGTGCCATCATTGCCTTCCTCCTCCCCACTCCCCCCTAATAGGCCACGCTCCACTTCTGACTGGCCTCATGCAGTCCTTGCCCCTGGGTAGGTTGAGGGGCTTCACAGCTCTAGTGAGATAGATATTTCATTCCAGCTGAGGGGAAGAGGCAAAGCAACCCAGGTCAGCCAGTGACCTCTGGGTTGGACACCATGATGGTGCTGCAGTGTCTTTCTCCCCCCTGAGGCACTGGGACTGGTCAGGTGACCAGGATGGAAAAAAAGGAAGGGAGAGGTCCAAGTGAGAGGAGAGACAATCTGGACCCATGAAATCAAGAGCAGCAGGAGGTTTTCTTACCTGCTATAATATGATATCATTGGAGAAGTTCTTGGGATTATAGTCTGGGTGGCTTTTGTCACCCAAAAGACATGCTGGGTCTTCTTCTGTTTCTTGATGTTGTGCCCTGTCTTACTCATGACAATGATTGACTCTCACAGATAGCAGAAAGGGGTATAGAAGTGGCATGGTGTCACAGGAATTGCAGCCAGGATCTGTGAACAGCAGGTGACAGCTGAGGCGGGGCAGGGCTGCAGTTAGGGGAAATCGAGGCCACTGGTGTGTCAGGGGCAGAGTGGCATTGTCCTCTTTGCTTTTCAAGATCACTGAGGGTTGGGCTTCTGGGAACGCTTTCTTGCCCTCAAACAGTATCATGACATTGCTTGAGTTTGCATTTTCACCCTAATGCATCTACTACCCCTGCTTGATTTGGCCAGTGTGGTCCTTGTCTTCTCAACTCTGCCACTTGTTCTCACCACTGACCCTCTGAGCCCAGCTTACCTGTCCTATTTCTCAGCTTTTCATTGCTCAGTCATGCTCTCAGATGGCTCCTCTGATGAGGTCTTGTAGGTTTGAATTATAGGAGCCCAGGGAGCTTTCCTGGGCTGGTCCCTGTACGGGTCTCAGGAGGGGTAGGCTGGCTGCTGCTCCTCACCTTCCACTGCAGTGAGCAGCTGTCAGAACAAAGTTCTCCTGCATAAGAACACCTCCGCACCTCTTCTTTCCCTTATTGAGCAACTGCAAGTAGGCCATGTAGGGGTGGGAGTGGAGCTTGGCCTCATGTTCCCCCATGATCTCCTATGAGGGAAAAGGCTGGAAGATGGGTGACTGAGAGCAGCTGTGGTAGGAGGGAAGGCTTAAGGAGGCGATGATTGAAGTGTGCCCTGAAGATAATGGGAGGAGCGTTAGTCAGGTCCCCTTGCAGCAGAAGCACCTTTTCTGAACCTCAAGCCTCCAAATCCCCCTGAAGAAAGGAAAGGGAGCAGTACTTGTTCTCCAAGTCATATGCAGACATGTATGGAGGAGGTAAGACCTATCTTGAAGATGGTGGAGGCCCAGGTAATGTGGACAGGACACAGTGGTCTCCCTGACCGCTCCGAGCCTCTGTTAAAACCCTGATTGGTGCTCTTTTGTAATTATCTACCCATGAGCTATGGAGTTGGATTTCTAAAATCCTTCTGTCCCAGGGCCTTGGACATCTAGGTCTCAGTAGGCATTTTTCAACTGCATCAATGCATGGCCTCTAATTAGTTTCAGGCTGAGGATTGGTGGGGACAAGGCTGGTCAGTTCAAAGCCACAGCAATGGGGAGAAGGGACTGCCAAAGACAGTGAAGCAGCTGAGGGCTTGGGAAAGCTGGGAGAGCGGGGTATGAAATGGCCTGCCCAGGCCTGGGGCAGAGCCAAGGCAACCGGCGAACTTTGTGTGCAGTCATCTATCTAGCCAGTGCTGAGACTGATCACACTCTGGGCTCCTCTCCTGGGCAGGAGCATGGATTAGGGGGTACTGAGAACTGAACTGGTTCTTAAGGTGGTCCAGAGACAACTCTCACTACTGCTGGTGGTTTCTCTGAGGTGCTCTCTCCTGGGTTGGAGTGAGGGATTTTAATTACTTGTCTTTTGTATCTTCACATCCTCTGCCAAATGTCTTCCTATAAACAACCTACTTTCCAGGTGATAAGAGAGAGGCTAAGACCTTATAGTGGGAGCCTTCTTCCCAGTCATCCTTGTTGAGTATTTATCTACATGGGACTTATTGGTCTGGGGTTGGATTGGGAGCTGGGGTTCAGAAAGCTACTGGGTTCAAATGGAGGACAAACCCTGCCATGATGGATGAAAAGGTGAGGAGTACAGGGGGTTTTATGACATGGACTCAGGCCTTAGGAATGCGATGGTCACTCACCTGTCCCGGCCCCAGTGGGCAGAAGAAGAAAGGCCAACAAGAGCAGGAGTGGATGCATCTGCCTATGTCAGAGCTGCTGGTGTGTCTTCTTTCTAGACACATAGACCCTGAAGGGATCACAGGAAGTATTGCTCACTGACACACACACCTCCTCAACACGTGTTCCTTTAGTTTTCCTGGGTGTCATCATACAAGATGGTTTGTTGAAGTTCTCTATTTGGTTATGTGAGAATGTCAGTGTCACCACATGTGCACTCTTAGTGTTCATCCACAGGGCAAGACCAGAAGAAGGAATAAGAAAGTAAAGGCTGTGGCTACAACCAGCAGAGGGGCTGGAACCACGGAAGTCCCTTAGTGATTAAATCAAGAATGTTGCCATTTCATGGCTCCTTTCTTTTCTGATGAAATCATGAATAATTATTTAGCAAGCTATGTTTAGTGGTATGAGTGACAGGCCCTGCCGTTCAGAAGCCGACGGTCGGCTGGAATAGACGGAGAAACTGTGGGTAGAGGACGGGGTGCAAAGGGCTATGGTGAGGGGTGTTCTTGGTGGTGTGAGATAAAGGCTGGACTTGCCTGAGGCCCAGGTGCCCTGGACAAACCCCAATATGCCAAACGGTCACTCCATTTCCTATCTTACCGGCACTGCAGCCTCATATATTTGGGACATTTAGATCCCCTCTTTTAATATAAATATTCTGTGATAGAGAAAACTAGAGCTTTTCTTACCCCACAATTTTGAACACAAGTCCTGGAGTTGATAGTCACTGGATAGAAACAAGTCATCATTTGATCTATTGGAGTTGAGGGCCAGATTGGTTCATGCTTTGGTGACTTAGCACTCCTTGGGCTGAGGAGGGGAGTGTCCACCCGAATCACAGAGCCTCTGTGTGGGCAACTTCCCCTCAAGAAATGCTGGTTACTCTTGCCAGGCAATGGAAAATGGATGCTGCCTATTCTAATAGTTACTCTTCACTAAGCTTTCTCTGTTCAGTGTCCAGAGAATCCTGTCTCTGAGGTCCTTGGACCAAGCACTTATATATGTTGCAAACATGTTACCCCAAATCTGTTAGCAGTGTGACAGCAGAAGAAAGGGTAGTGGAAAGGAAGTCATGATGATTCTAAACAGCCCAACCCCAGAAGAAACGGCATCTTATGAAACATAGAGAAAGAGTAGAAGTAACATGCTTAAGCAACAGCGATGATCTCTGGGTGGTGGAATTCTCAGTAGTTTTCATTTTCTTGTTTATGTACTTAAGTATCTTTCTATGATGAATAAGTATTACTTTTATACCCAAAATACATTTTCCCTGAGTCAAAGCATACTAATCAATGGCCAACTTTCAGCGAACCAACTTTTTTCAGTCCAGTTTCTCTAAGGTGGATATTTTAAAATGAGGTTACTTTTCTGAATGCAATCTTATGAAAGATTTAGAAATTGTTGAAAAATAAAAGAAAAAATTTCCTCAATAGGCTTTACGCTATAAGATACTTTTGAAAAAACAGAAAAATACCCTTGAAACTAATACTTTTCATTATAGTGAGTTTCCTTTGGAGACACACACACACACACACACACACACACACACACACAGAGAGACAGACAGACAGACACACACACACACACATGAACAGTGGGACGTAGGGAGAGGCTGGCTCAGACCAAGATGGAAGAGCACGCGCAAGGTCTTTTTGGGATATAGGAGGATGGGCTGCCAGGACACAGAGGTTCCACTGAGCTCTGGGCCCAAGACAGGGCTGTGACAGGCACTTGAATTGGGCCTGGGCGTACTGAAGGGCCCTCCAGAAACTTCTCAGGCTTCCAAGCTGATGTTATGTGGGGAAGGAGTGCTTCGTAGGGTGAAATTACACATTTCCAAAAGATTCCCACCCATTCCTGTTCTGGTAGAGAAATGACCCCCTATCCCAGAGCTTCTTAGCTAATCCTTCTTTCAGTCTCTGGATTCTTTTATGCTGCCCATTGGCCCTGGGTAGTGTTAGTGGGGTAGGAGTGTAGGTGTGGAACGAAGTAGGAGAGGAATATGAATGGGATAAGAAGGTTATGTAGAGTAGGGTCACTTTCTTGGGAGGAGTTGTCTTCTTTTACCTGATGGAACTTACACTCAGCCTGGCAGTAGGAGCTGGTACTGGGTAGGAGTATTTGGAAAGAGTTTGCTATCAATGCAGTATGATTTTTATTGTAGAGATGGAACATGCATTATGCTGAAGGGGGAAGCTTATGAGAATTAGAAATGTGAATAGATGGTTGCCAGACACAGCAGTAGGAAACTAATCAGTATTTTGGTCACTAAAAAAGGAATTGATGATTTTCAGTCTAGAGATGGAAGTTTATTAAGTGTATGCCCCAGTTTCCGCCACCCTGTCTGCCCAATGCAGTATTGGCCTGTGCCCCAGAGAAAATGGACGGATCAATTCTGGGGTGCCTCAGTCTGGTCTCAGAAGTTTCAAGCATCTCATTGTGCTTTCTATCCAGGGCAAGAAGTTCGAGATCCTGGTGTAGACTCTTGGAGGGTTTGCACAGGTTGATCCGTAGGAGACAATGCCTTGGGCCTTGTTGTTACATATGAGGGGGCCCCCAGAATCCCCCTGTGGGCAGAGGGATGAGGGACTGAGCTGGACTTCTCCTGGTCCTGCCTTCCTTTTGCCCCAGGGGTGGGTGGCCTCTGTTAGGGGGGTGCGTGGGAGGCCAGTGCCAGGGCAGGCCTTCTTGCCTCCCTAGGTCCCTGGGTTCCAGCCTGGGTCTGATGGGTCCATTACCCTTCTCCATGAAGCCTCTGTCCATAAGTGGCTAGGAGAAAGTCTCTCATTCCCCCCTGGGAGACAGCACCAGAAAGTCTGAGGACATAGGCATATGACTTGTTCCCATAGCCCTGGGTCTCCTCAAAGCTTGGCTGTGCCCAGAGCTGTGAATGGACCATGCTGGGATCTTACCTTATAAGAAGTCTGAATCTTTTTTGGGTCCCCCACACACATCTGGATGGTGCTGTTGTAATGTGGGTAGCGAGAGGTGCATTTGTTGTTCGCCTGGATTTCAAGCTCTGCCTCGTGCAATTTCCCATCACCTTTGGTATATACATCCAGACGCCCCCATCCGGCCACAGTGCACACCATCCCTGGCTTCACCTGGTCTGTCATTGAGGGCAGACTAATGGTGCTCACGGCATCATTCAGTTTGGCCTTCTTCTCCAGCTGAAGGCAGAGGACAGGAATTCTAATCTACCCGTGGCCCACAGTCCGCAGGGACGGTCATGTGGTATCCATTTTAATCAACCTGGGACAAGTAAAGGGGCCAAACTGGGATGGAGACTAGGACAGAGGTCATGTGGATGCAAAACCCGGGGGTTAAGGTGTGCAAGAACAAGTGGTGCCCCACCTGCAGTAACATGATGTCATTCCAGTGTGAAGAACTAATATAGCCTGGGTGGAATATGGGGTTTTTCACCCGGATGGTCTGCTGGGTCTTCTCCTTCTGCTTGATGTTGTGGGCTCCCAGGGTGACATTAGTTGAGTTGCAGAGACTAGAGAGGGTGTATAGTCACAGGAGATATAGCCCAGGGGCTGTGACAGAAAGGGTGCAGGTGGAGACAGGGCAGGACTGGAGTAGAGAGGAATGATAGGGTCCTTAAGGCTAAGCATGTGTGTGCCTTCTGTTTCTTGGCAGCTCGGGCCCAGTGGCAATTCCTGCAGCAGATGTCACTGTGCTGAGCTTACCTGTCTGTAAGCAAAACCATTTATGTGCTGGGCTCCAGGGCACAACCTCATGCTCCTTCCTGTAACACATTTGACCAGTGTCTTCTCTCTTTAACAGGCCACTTGCATTGACCTGTCCCTGTCTCCCCACAACATACCTGTCTTTGGAAGAGCTGATCTGTGTTACTAGGTGTTTGAATTCTACAGTTCCTGAGCTGAGGGCTCCCTGCCAGGTGTTTACAGAAAGGGTGGGTTCCAGACGATACTCCTCACCTTTTACAGCAGTGAGCTGCTGTCAACACAATGTCCTCACGCACAAGGAAACCCCCACAGTTCCCAAGATGTGCCATGTAGGGATGAGAGTGAGGCTTGGCCTCATGGCCCCCGATGATTTCTCCTGAAAGAAAAATTCTACCCTGCTTGCTGTGCTCAAGGAGCCAAGGGCTGGCGGGGAGATTGGGACAAACTGGAGCAGGCGGGGAGGAGTGGGGTGGCAGATGGTGGGGTCTGTAGTAGTAAGAAGTGACCTAGCGGGGGGCCCTGGGGGTTCCTGAGGTAACATTTCAGGACTACCAAGCGACCCACAAGACTCAATTTGTCCCTCTGACAGAGAGAAGAGCAGACCTTATTCCTTAACTACAGCTGCAGGCACATGTGTGGGTAGACAGGATTTGTGTTTGGAACAAGCAGCGAAGGCCCTGTACATCCTGGCAAATCCTTTCCCTGACGTGTCCTGGGTCCTCTCTCCTTTCTTGTTTCCCAGACTCACTNGTTCTTCATTTTCCAGACCATGTGAGCCTTCCTGATTCTCCAATGATTCTGGATGGGCCGGGGCTTGCAGCAATGACAGGGATCATGTTTCTGGCCTGTCCAGTCGGTTGGGGGTCTACAGTCAGACTCACACTGCCTTCTAGCAGATGTGTGACATGGGCTTCCTACTATTTGAACCTGTACAGTGACACTCACACCTGCTACTTGTAAAGCAAGTAAAAATAAGGCTGCCCTCCCTGCCTGCTGCCGTCTCCCTACATGAAGAGGGTGCTCCAGTGAACAGTTTGGCAACTTCTTGTCTCGGAACTGAAGGGCTGAAGTCATCCCCAAATCCCGTACACCGCTGTTCTAGAGTCACACGTGAGAAAATTCATGCAAGTTGTAACCTGGAATAAAAACGAATAGCAATGCTTCACACCTGTGGGCTTCCCAGATAGACCTTGGTCATGTGGACTCATGATCGAGTGGTGAGTGGTGAGAGGGCCTTAGATGATTTTGATCAAAGTCAACACTGTCAGTTTCACTTGGGTCTGGGTGATAGAACCTGTATTCTGTTCACTGTATATCCTCAATGCCTGGCCCTTAGTAGGTGCTCAATCAACATTTATTTGTTGATTGATAGAAAAAATTGTGCTTTGCAGTCCTACTGCAGAGATGAGCCCTTTCTAACTCAAAATGCTGAGATAGCCCGAGGTTGCCTGCAGGGGTCTTAGCCTGGAGGCCAGCAGTGACTCAGAAGCAGGCTGAAAGGGATGTAGGCTACCAAGTGATCAGGAGGCCAGTAGACTCTGAGTGCATGTGGGGCCACTGGTCGGGTGTGAAGGGCTGAGCAGGCACTGTCGAGGCTGGGATGGGGGCAAGAGTTCTGGAGAGACCTCGTGCCAGCCCTGTCCTCCAGGGCCCTGCCTGGTGCAGGCACAGGTCTGGTCCCTCTGATCACCCTCTGTCAGGGCATTAGCTCGGATGGCATATCTGTAGCCAGGCCCTGCTGGAATCACACGGAACTCTAGGTGTCCTAGGTGGGAGGGATATGAAAAAATGGCCACCTCAGATCTGTGGTCTGGAGGGGACAGGAGCTGCTAGACTCTGAGACCTCTCAGTGATAAGCAGGGATGGAGAAGAAGGGACAGCCAGAGACCGGAGGCCAAGCTGGGCCCTGAGCACAGAGGAGGACAGAGTAGGGCAAAGAAAGAGTTAGCCTCTTTGAGAATGAGGAGCTTCTCAATGCCCCCACCCCCTCAACTCTGCCATCTTTCCTGACTGTGGGAGAGAATGTCTTGCTCAGGAGAGCCTTTCCCCTCCCCAGTGTGGTGGGCGATGCCCCTGAGCTGCAGCCCCAGGCTGTGCCGCTTGTTGTCAGGCACCCAGGATGTTATCTGCTTCCTCTCTGCCACGTAACAAAGGGGAAGAAGGTCAGAAGTTCACGCTGAGCCCAGCCCCTGAGAGACTCATGCATTCTCCTGATGGGGCTCAGCTTCAGCCTTGGCAGAGGGCAGCCCTGAAGGTACAGGTGTGGGTAAGAAGGAGCTGGGTGACAGCTTTGCACAGGGTTTGGGGAGGTGATGGAGGCATGGGGAAGAGGAGGAAGCAGAAAACAGCAGAATTGTTCCCATGGCCATCTACGCATAGAGCTAGTGCCTGTGAATGAAGGTTAGTGAATAAACAAGCAACCAGCATTTCCCACTCAGCTAAGAGACATTTCTTAGGTTGCTGGCACCACCTGCCCTCTGCCAACCCCCTCAGTGTGATTCTGGATTAGCTTGAGAAGATGTGGCTCCTGCAGTTGGGCTTTTCATGGTTTTCTTTATCCAGGGCTGGAATCTTGAGACGTCGGTGTAGGCCCATGGAGGTGTCCGATCTTTTCGTCCATAGGATACAATGCCCTGGATCACACAATTACACACTAGAGGACCCCCGGAACCCCCTGCAGACATAGAAGAGGGAGGATTGAGCCAGCCCTCCTTCTTGTCCTGCCCTCCCTGCCATCCCCAGCCCCTCTCAGAGAATGCCACCTTGTGTTTCCTCCATGTGGGAGATCAGAGGGCGGCAGGCCACCGTTGGCCCGTCAGCTTGGCCATTGTCATGGCTTCACTTCACCTTAGTTGGCAGCTCCCTCTCCTCCCCCAGGTCCCGGATCCTCTTCCTCTACAAGTTCTGTGGGACTGTGGCTCCAGTCTACAGTGTGAGGACATGAAAGCAGGCGGCAGTGGCTGACACTTAGCATGGAGGACGAGCCCGTTAAGCAGGGTGAGTGCTGGCTCTGAGGAGCCACCTGGTTTTATCTACTGCTCACAAAGGGGGCAGTTTTCTAACGCTGTGCTTCTGTGTGGGCGAGAGTGTTGCAGGTTCATCCTTGTGGAGGAGGACCATGTCTAGATTGACCATGGGCCTCGGTAAGTTCTCAGAGGCCCTATTTCTCCCTAACTCTGGTTGCTGTCCATTGTTCTCCAGGGAGAAAGATCCCAGACTGGATAGAATGTGGAGCGGTTCCCCACTGCCTGGGTCTCCAGATCTCTGTCCTTCCCCAAACACCACCCTCTCCAGAGCCAAGCCAGCTAAGCTCAGTCTCACGTGAAAGTAAGCCTTTTTTTGTCATGTTCCCCACGTAGATTTGAATGGCATGGTCACAACAATTTTGTAAGTAGTTTTCGTACTCCCAATCCTTTTGCACTGTCATCTCCATCTCCTACAGTTTGTCTGGATA